CACACATTTGGACTGATTTGTGACCACTGTTTGGGAGGGATGGTTATATTGTGTATCTGGAATGAATTTTAGGTCTCTACGTCCATCCCATGGGGAATGGGAGCAGTAACAAAGGTGTTGTGTTTATATTTTTGTTGAGTGTAGTTTGACAGCAAGCAAATAAGTTTCCTGCCTGGTACAAAATGAAGAAGCTCCTGTTTTATTCATTTTCATATCAGTGTGAGTTATCTTAAAATTCTTGACCATGCATCAGTGCAAATTTTTAGAGTTGATTCTTTTAAAATTGTCATTTGTGCAAAGTCACAAGCTGATAAAATGTTTATTCCATATTAGGTTTTAGCCTTTGCATGTAGTAAGTAGTTTCTTCGTAGTAGTTTTTCTGTTGCACACAAGAAACCACAAGTTCCTGTTTTTATAAATTTAACAAGATTTTTACATGTTTGTTTGTTAAAAGTTCATGCCCTAAATGGAGTGACTGGAGATGTCAAAGGGTCGCGCCATGTATGGTATGACAGGAGATGGCACACATACACACACATGCTGATGTTGCGCACACATGCTTGCCTTGGATGTATGACTGCTTTCACCGAATAAAAGGAGCTGTAAGGGAAGTCAGGTTCGGAGTTGACTGAGTTCGGGTGAAGGGCTTATAACTCTAAGACCCTGATCGGGCTTCCCTTGCCGGCAAGTAAAAGACAAAAGCGCTGTGGTCTTGCTTTGTTCACAAGGATCGGTCTCTGAGACAGCGAGGTCTGTGAGATTAGACCTAACATAAATCATATTCTGGAGCTGTATAACTAAGAGTCAGTTCAGCAGAGGACTAACAAACTCTTCACTCGGCCTGATGGTAAGTTAGTTTCTGTTTGTATTAGGATGGTGACATATTTGGTGGAGCACAGAATAACCTGTGAACTCAAGCCATGCTGCGATACTGCATTATGTTATTACCTGTAAAGACACTGCAGCCAGTAATAGTGAGATAATTCTGTTTTCTCCTAAAGGGAAGATGATGTATTAAAATGACTTTTTTTATTATTCTGTTTTTTCAGGAAGTCCTTTGGATGATTGTCCTCACTGTTGGTCTGCTTGGCTCACATTGTGAGGGCGCTATATCCTGTAAAAATGAAACTAATGTTGATGTAGACTGGTAAGACAACATCTGAGCTATTCATTCAGGTGTACTGAATTACACATTAGTAACTTTGGTCTTCAAGTGCTTCAAAGCTACGCTATGGTACCTTTTGCACCTGCGTTTCAACATAGTCATAGATGATGTTCAGACACTGCTACACTATTTTACACTGTTATTATCAGTTATTTTATATATTTCCATTTCATAAATAACTTCATTTGGGCAGTAAGACATTACGCATACCTAAAACTATGAAGACAACACACAATACTGTGACACTTGCCTCCTTTCTCCAGCCCTGCAAATCTATTTTCATCACTCGTATTATTCTCACTTTATTGATCAAAAGAGGAAACAGGGAAAGAAAACACTTTGCAAAATTTCACAAGCTTCATCTCATTTTAGCATCATGGGGAAGCCAGTGGAAAATACTATTCATAAAAGGCCCTGTTATTCATAGTTAAAGGTTTTCAGTCATATCTCTGCTTACTCTACAGGTGCTTGTGAGACTCGGGTATAACAGAGTTTGTTATTTTCTTCTTCCATGCTCAGTTAAGCTTCTCATCATTTATTGTTATCTTTGAATTTACTGACTTGTCTCTGACATCACCAGGTTTATTTTGTACAAGGTGCGTTGCGGGTTTGATTATGTTTACATTGATTCAACCGACCAGAACCTTAAAAAGAATAAAGAGGACAAGCCTGTCAACCACCAAGCTGGTGTCCTGGCAAATACCCTGAAGCCCTACTTTGAAAAAGTGAGAATAACTCCATGAGTTTCTGTTATTAGTGTGTATGCACTTTGAGGAAAGACAAAATTTATGTTATGTTTTTGTGGATTCTTTCCGGATGAGCAGTCACCAGATTCTGCATTCATTGCATACAATGATCAAATGCCAAGTTGTAACGCACTACAAGAATATGGCCACAGCAAAGGTGGGTAGAAATAATTTTTTAATAATAATAATAATAATAACATAAGAAATACTAATAAAAACACACCTGATTTAAATGTGCTCTCCTTCACGCTCACCTCTGAGCATCAGAACCACAACTGCTGTTATTCTCAGATCACTCAGCAAATGTTCTCTTCTTAATAATGACATGAGCTCTTTCATGTTCTTGTTCTGCAGGAGTTGTGATGATGGATAAGGATAATGTAGTCTGGCTTTTACACAGCACACCAAAATTCCCCGAAGGAGATGAAAGCAATAATTTCTATCCTGTCAGTGGGAAAAGGTACGCACAGATATTTATGTGTGTAACACTGCCCTCTGATAAGTCTGCACAAATAGGTAAGGCAGCATGTCCAAGGTAATTCTTCATGTCTAGAGTGTATGTGAAGTTTTAACACAGTAACATGTACGTCCCTCATTTTACTTTTTTTCAGCTCAGCATCTTAAAGACATCAATGCTCATATATTTAAAAACCACAATCCTGAAAAACTCAAAGATTCTTCCAACATAAAACGAACGCTGCCCTACCATGAGGACTTGTTGTCAGCCGGTGGTTTGCAGTTTAAACGCTTTGTTAAACAAATCTCCAAGAAAAGGGATCCTGAAAAGGGATCCTGAAGGTGAGATTTCTGCTTCATTCATTTAAGAAAAAAATCTTAAACGCTGTGTCTTTTGTGAAATCATTGTGACTTTCTGTAGTTTCCCCACCAAAGTTCTGAGACTCTTATTTATAAGGTGTGAAACATCAAGCCCAACACAGTCCTTTATTTTAACTTCTCTAATGTTTTGGCCTGTGAAACATGAGCTGGGCGACGAGTAGATCTAACTTTACAGAGTAGTTCTGTTCAAAACTCACTTTATTTAGATTTTAACTCTAAAAATAACTCACATATAAAATTAAATAATGATCCTGGTATGAAAATGTTGTGGAAGCTGTAAAATAAATCCTGTGAACACACATGTTATGCTGTAAGTTTGTATTGCCATGGAGACCTTTCATTAAGGTGTTAGTGTGACCCAGCCTCAGTGCAGAGTTAGTGCAGGGGAGTGTAGCAGCAGGGATCATATGAGGTCTGATGTTTGTAAAAGAAATCATTAAATAACAAGAGCTGGAACTTCCCAGAAACTCTCAGAAAGAGAAAGTAGAGTCAGGGTTGTTGTGAGCAATACTTTTCTCTTCTTTTTTTTTTTAAATTCTGGCTTATTGTAACACTGTCTGTTGGTTTCCTGATGTTTGTCTTTACTTTGGCAGAAGGAGATCTTTATGTCACCATTGCTGACACACTACAGAGCAATTTATACATCCAGACCTGGCGCAGCAAACCTGGCAAACCTTTTACTTCTAAGAATAACCACAAACTTTACAACATCGTGGAAGTAGAAACTGCTGCAGGTAGTTGGAACAATGGAAGTGATCATTCCAAATGGTGTGTTTCTGACAGTAAAGATTGGATGTGTGTTGGTGACTCAAACAGAGAACCATCCCAGTTCAAAAGGCCTGGTGGTGCACTGTGCATTAATAGAAAACCTGTGGCAGATGCATTTAGGACAATTAAAAAGATTACTGGCACTGATAGCGTCACTGACGGTAACACTGACTGTAACAATAACAATGTTGCTAGTTCCCGTAAAAGATCAAGATCAGGTTAACTGCAGCAGACAATCGTCTCGGTCTTGTTTTCTATCTACGTTCACCAGTTTTGAATTTATTGTAAATTTATTTTATCAAAGTGAAGCTGACTTGAATCTGGTGCTGACATCGTCACTCTTGTCAGTGTTATCTAATGTTTCTGTGAACGATATGAAATTAAAAACATTTGATGGATATTTCACAGTGTGGTTCTTTCACCCATGGAAACCATAGAAATAAATGACTTTGCATGAATCCGTCTTGTTTTTACTCTGAGGTCCTGTTTCTGTCTGATGACGTTTAAAAGAATTCAAACTAGCCCCTACAGTCAGACATCTTTATTTTTATGGTTTAGTAGATTTTGATTTGCCAAACCAGGTTTTATATTGAAATTTTTCTTCTGTAACAGGTCTTCTTTATTACAAAACAACAACTTTGGCACTTTTATTATTTATTTGTAAAGAAATTATTTTCACAGTTCACTTATTCATTTTTTTTACTACATTATTTGTTGGACTTTATGCAAATTAGTGCGTATGTGATGTAGCGAACCCCCCCGAATGAAGGATGACACTTTACTGATGACGTTTTGAAGGTTTAATGGCAGTAAACCATCAATCTCACCGTAAGAGCTGAGGATGTATACATAGAAACAGCGTGTAAGCAAAAATAATCCACACTCTTACAATCGTAAACCTTATAACATGAAGTTCGTTTCAACGTAACATTTAACAAATGTAGCGACTGTCACAAAAACATCTAAACATGTCCTCATTTATATCATAACCATACCTTGTGCCTCTATCAAGGGGGCTGCTAATGACAAAAGAAATCTCCATAGGCTCCGTTAAGCCATCACTTTTCAAAACTCCCGCGACTGCTGCTGAAAACTGCGCCAAAAACAGTTTTACAGGAAATCGTCCCATCAAAATAAAAGCTTCTACACACGGACAGGAAGTTGGTAGTAGAAAACAGCAATGAGTGCCAAAATAAGGTGCAAGGAAAGGCATTCAGGGTTATTTACACTCCCACCAAAATTACGAATAATTGGTTTACATAAGAACCAAAATGAA